AGACCTCTCCATGTGGTATGCAGCTGGGTTTGGTACACTTTTTCCAAATGGTAACAGGCGGTACGAACACATGGCTAATGAGGTAACTTAAAGAACTGGATTTGCCATTGCCCATTCAGAAAAAACCTTTCACATTTCTTGACATAATGTTGTTTCTCCTTATTACAGCCTCTAGCAAAGGAATTAATTTGGGAAATACAAGTATTTTTTTAAATACACATATATGTATATATTAAAAAATTTTGTTGCTTGTCAGTGAGTTGAAGGAGATTCTTGATACATTTAGGTGATCTCCAAAAAACTACCTACAACTCTCAAAGGAAAGCTGCAGTGTTCTTCTACCTCAGTTTATATAAACAGTTAGTTTAGGGGAGAACAAAAGACACCATAAACACAACACTAAGAAACATTACGTGAGAGAAAATTACATAAATTACTGTTCGTAGCTATGATTGCCTTTAAACTGATTTGAGTGTCAGTAAAGGCTATTTTCTCAGCTATTGCTGTTCACCCCAGTACTAGCTATGCTGATACAATTGATCCCTGCCCTTTTGATTTTTCATCTTCAGCCTCTGCAGATCTGTTCCTTTCTGCTGGTCCAGATCACTCACATCTTGACGAAATGGGTGTGGTGGAGAACAAACAATTCACAGCCACATAGGCCTTCATGAGCACATCTCATCTCCTCCTGAGTTTTTCCATTCTTTTGGAACTCCCTATATATTAACCAAGAACTGAGACATGGGCAGAGTAGTGTGAGATTGGGTTACATGCTACAGATATAAGGAATGTGAATGATAGTGAAAAAAGCACCACCCCTCCAGGGCTTTAGATCAGATCCCACTATAAAGCAAGAGACAGAAAGAACAGGAATATTCTGTTGTCAGAAAAATAACAATGTCCAGCCCGGCCCTGCTCAATTCATTGTGAAATGAAATGCTGCCAATAAACCTCAGGATTTCTTAAATGTTTCAATCATGCTCAGAGCATCAAATGAATCCTGGAAGCAGTTATGTAACTCTTGATTTGTTGTATCTGTTTTATTGTTAATACAGGAAAATGGCTCACTGTGACCGTCTGATAGAAGTGGAAGACATGATGGTGATGGGTCACAAGCCAGATCCCATGTGTGTCTTCACCTATGTCCAGTCTCTGTACAGTCATCTACGATGCTTTGAATAAAACCATCAATACCTCTCCAGCCAGAAGGGTCAAGTACAGCATACTAACAGGAAGACTGACACTTTGCAAATGGAACACAGTATTATTTCTTGCTTTGTACTGTCCCTTTGCTTACATTCAGCTGTGTAGCTGGCTGGCTGAAGTATTGCTGAGCACTGCCCTGAAGTGTTGATCACATCACCGTGTCAGTAATACGGAAATAGGTTTGACAAAGACAAAAACACATTGGAAAAGCAAATATTGTGATTTCGGTGCTAGTAGTAGATTGGATTTTTAGAATTTTTATGTTTAAAGATCACATGAAGCAAATGTACTTCTCCTGTCTGTAAGGTTAGGGACAATTTTATGCAGTGATTCTGCTATGAAGGTGTTCCATCTTAAAATGCAGGTAAAACTCCAGAAGACAGCACCTTCAGTTTCACTTCCCTGTTAAACATAGTATGGATGATGGCAGATGGACAAGGAAAATTCTGTTTAGCAAATAATGACCTAGAGTACTCAACCATTAGAGCAATCATGCCTCTCCTCCCCCTCTACCCCTCTACTCTAGCATACACACAGAGAGATCAAACAGGCATTGTTTTGTTCTCTTAAATCATAAAGAGAGCGTAGCCTCTTGTCTGATGAATGTGGTGACAGATTACTATGTTACATAACGGCATTTGTTTGTAATGGTCAAATCTAATAGTATTTGCTGAGAGGGTTGCTAATGCCTCTACTGGCAGTCCTGGATTGATTTCTTGATCAGACTACTAGCAACAGCTGGGACTCCTCTTTGTCTGAGATCGTGTGCTTGCATGGTTTAGGATTGCAGGAAAGGTAGGAGCTAGCAAGATACAAAATCCTTTGAACAGTTGTAATAGAAACAAGCCTGTAATGTCCTTTTACCTGGACTCAGGGGGAGAGCAGCTGTTCAGTGTGGACAAGAGTGAACTCTTTTCAGTACAGATGCTGATTCTGAGGCAAATGAACAATACACAAAAATATATATGGAAAGATGTGGGAGTTTTGAAATAGTTTCAAAAGCCTTGCACTAGTTTCAGTTTTCAGTTAAATTACTATCAAAACCACAGTACAGTTAGATTACTCCAGATTTACTGGACTAAAAAATGCCTTCTAAAATTATTTCTTCCCTAAGAACAGGCTCATGGAAAGAAAAAAACTGAAAGCCACAAATCGTCTGCTTGTGCTAGAGAATATTTTTTAACCTGCCCTTGTGCTTTCTGTAGATATTTAGAAGGATTAATTTGGTTCTACATTGATGTGTAGATATTTAGAAAGATTAATTTGGTTCTGTATTGATGAACATTTATAATAAAATATGTCAAGCATTCTTCAGATTTATTGCATCTTTTTAGAATGATGTGACAGATAGCCAAGTAAAATCAGTGAAAACACAGACCTTTTACTTAAAAGATTTTTGTTCCGGTCATGATTCTGTGTGCTCTGAACTTCAGTTAACAAAGTACAAAAGTTCAACTGCATTTAAAATACGACTTTACTTCAGTCTCCCTTTCTAGTCTAGTTTACTTAAAAACCATGCATGAAGCAACCGCTTTGTTAGCATATAAATGCCATTGCCTTCAGTTCTTTACTTTGTCTTGAATGATTATAATTCTGAGGAGTAAGTGTGTGCCTATAGCTCTACCAAATGCACTGTAAGGATAAACACATTGTAGTTATGTTTTGGAGGAGTTTTGGTTAAGCATGTGGAGAAATCTGTCCAAAACTGGCACATACAACACACCTATTTACATTCTTACAGTAGAATACTTTTTAGTGATCCATCATAATTACCACAAGAGGGGCAATACTGGCTTAATACATGGCATTCCTTCACAGTCCGAGGTCATAGATGATTTTACTGTGTGATGTGAGTGCTGAAGATGCAGGTAAGTGCTTGGCCAATTTAGGCCTAATAGCATATAATTATATAAAGGAACTTCTGGACTGTAAAATTATTGCTAATTCAGCAGGGTGAATCTACATACTTTCTGTAATTTAGCTTGTTTTTGCAGCTATCCACAAGGTATTGCAAAAATTTGCAGCTATCCACAAAGGTATTTGTACAGGTTTTCTAAAGTCTTCCCACTTCAGAGAGGTGATTGTAAAGATATCTGGGATTTACCAGCCACCTGTTTTCAGGATAGTTGAAGACTGTATAAGCTGAGTTGCTCTATTGATGGTTTGTGTGTAAGGGTTTAGGGAGATAGTTCTATGACATACTTCTAGAAAAACTTACAGCTTTGTGCATTAAGAGGTCTGCTCTATATGAATAACCTCAACTATTTGATTGTATGATTACATTGAAATTAAAGTATATAATGTATGCCCCCAATTGATTTTTCAGTATTATTATTTTTTTTAAATGCAGAGCATGTGTGTTTGTGTATATGACAGTGTGTTTAACATGAATGATAAAAGAACAATCTATTAAGTTGGTGTAGTACATATTTTACTCAAAGGGACCATTTCTTAACTTTTCTAATGTTTCTGTATAACATCTAAAAGTGTATCTATGGTTGTTTATTGTCAACCTGATCCTACTTTTAAAGGCTAAATCAGTTCTGTGCAATATTTTCAAGATAATGTCAGCAGAGACATCATCTACTTTTTAAGACTATTCTGAAAGGCTGCTGGAAGCTGTCTGATGAGCCTTCTGGAGGCTGAACAGTCCTAGCCCTCTCAGCCTTTCTTCATGGATTATTTTGGACTCTAGTGGAACACCACTGTTCAGACCTATTACGTTAGTCTGCTTTAGGATTTCAGCAACACTGAAAGAAAGTAGTTGATGATGCTGCAGTGTAAGCTCAATCTAGAGAACTCTCCTACTTCAACACAGTGGCAGCAGTGCTGCTGATTGATTCTATGACGAATAAGACTATTTATGTTATTTTTCATGCACCCAACAAGGAATATGGCAACATACTTAATTTAGATCTAGTCTCATTAATGCTGGTTGGTTAGACTCCTCCACAGAAAACGTGAGATGTTTCCTGAATGAGGACTTGGCCATTTCACAAATAGTGACCCTATTTTCTACATCCAGACAAAATTTACAATGTGAGGAACCACTCCATTGTAAAATCCTTTTCAAAGGCATCGCAATGGAACATGGTAAGCAAGCTGGTGTTAGCTTACCCCTACTGCTGCGCAGGACTTCCTTTTTCATCCGGCCGTAACTGGGCGCTTACCCGCGGTGTGGAAAGGTGGCGCGGGTGTCGGCGCG